TGGCCTATCGGGAGAAGCCCTCCCCTGGTACGCCTGGTCTACCAAGCTTTCCCAGGCAGTAGACAGGGCCTACCGGGGGAAGCCCTCCCCTGGTAGGCCCATCCATCCTGGGAAAGCCTGCATCGGTGGGGGGAGCTCTGAGAGGCCTCCAGCAGCTGCACTGAAGCCTTCGGAGGCCTCCAGCAGCAGCGATGGTGGTGGTGGTGGAGCTCTGAGAGGCCTCCGGCAGCGGCAGCGGGGGGGAAGCCCTCCCCTGGTAGGCCCATTCACCCTGGGAAATCCTGCATTGGTGGGGGGAGCTCCGAGAGGCCTCCAGCAGCTGCGCCAAAGCGCTCGGAGGCCTCCAGCAGCGGTGATGGCGGCGGCGGCAGACGCCTGGAAGGCTTCAGAAAGGTAAGGTTTTATTTTTAAAATTTTATTTTAATTTTGTGTGGGGGGGATTTCTTGGGTGGGTTACAGATTAAATGGTTTTCAATGCATTCCTATGGGGAATGCATTTTCGACCTGCATATTTTTCGACCTACGGACTCTGTTTCAATACGGATTAATTCTGTAGCTCGAGACCCCACTGTACGACTTAACTTTTTACCTCTCCCAGTTCAGAAACATATTTGTTGTTATGTGCTATCAAGTCAAAACCAACTTATAGCAACACTAATAGGATTTTCAAGGTAAGTGAAGTATTTAAAGAGCGGCTTTACCAGTTCCATACCCCCAATGAGTTTCTACTGATGAGCAGGGATTCAAATCCTGGCCTTCAGAATTCAAGTTCATCACTCTATCTGCTGCAGCACATTCAGAAATAGGTGACCTTAACATCCCCAAATTTAAACAGATCACATAAATAAAAAATACCAATCTTTCTTATCTTGAAAGAGAATGATTGGCCCTGATCCCCTTCTTTAATTTAGAAAGAATCCAGGCTTCAGGGGCTAAAACAATGATATGCAAAAAAGGCATTTCAAAAAGGAAAACAACCACTTTGTTATAAAACTGAACACATGTATTACTGGCTAGCTAGCAGGAGGTTCAAAATGAAACAATGTTTACATTCCTATGTAGGGGAGGGAAACATTTAGCGAGAAAGGTCACAGAAACAGATTGAAAAGACAGGTTTTCATTAAAATGAAATATATTTTTTTAAAGGCTAAGTGAATGGGCATTACTGCAAGATCACAGCTGAAAGCAGGCAAGAATTTAAAATCTGTCTCAAGAAACAAGATATGATGAGACCCAGTCTGATCATTGGTCCAAGGATGGAGAAATTTTTTTGAGGAGACTGAAGCAGTAGTCCAAGAAAGAGAGAAATTTACCTTAGATCAGCAGTCCCCAACCTTGGGCCTCCAGATGTTCTTGGACTTCAACTCCCAGAAATCCTGGCCAGCAGAGTTGGCAGTGAAGGCTTCTGGGAGTTGTAGTCCAAGAACATCTGGAGGCCCAAGGTTGGGGACCACTGCCCTAGATGTATGTGAATGAGGCGTCAACTCTAGATAATTCTGATGATCTCAGGCGGAGGTCTTTTCCCACCTAGCTTCTAAGAAATCTTACTTATTTAAATAATAACAATAATTGTTATGTTGTTGGATACAACTGATCTAATAATGTCGTAGTCATTTTTTGATCTTCCACGCAGTTCTTGTGAGATTTCCAACTTTCCACAGAACAGTCATTGTAATTATGGATGTTTTTTGAAAAGAACCATTCTATTTTGATGTTCTCACCATTGATTTATGTTTCCCCTCACACTTTAAAAGACATTAGCTCCCACCCTGGAGACTTTTAGAAGAGCACCTGTGCTCCTCTGTTTACTCCTGTAAATAGCATAATGTGGGTGTGTTAATTTAAATATCACAAAGTTGCTAAAGCTGTTTACAGAGTAGAGGAACACTTCGGGCAGGAGATTTTCTGATTCAGGTTTGTGGACCATACTGAAGATTTAAAGTTTCTAGAATGTTGAAGCCATGAAAAAGGGAGAGGGAAAATATTTTTCCCCTGGGAAAAAGTATACATTTAGAAGTGCTGGAGTGAAATAATGCAATATTTAATTTCTTAGGAAACTTACATTTACTTTACTGCCTGAACAACGTGAAAATGCATCACAATCAAGTTGTCATACAAAATGAACAATTTGAGATGTTTACAAAATTTGTGGAGGGAACCTCAATATGTTTCCTCAGAACACAGGAATTTACTCTTATGTAAATAAGCACACATAGGTTTGAAGCCTTTGTTTTTCTGTCCCTGCACAGGGAGTTCTAGTTTCTATCTATGCTTATTTAATTTTCCCAGAATGGAGATTAATTGCAGTCTCTGATATTTTATATTAATAGTTTAAGAATATAAACATGTGTTCAATCTTGTAAAAATTGAGATTTTTTTCATGGGTAAATGAAGCATCAGGATATAGTATGAGAATGTGTTCATTAGTATGAGAATGAACAGAACAAATATCTAATGTTGCTTTCTTCAATGCATTCAGTTATCTATGTTTCCTTATCTATGTTTCCTCTTATTTTCCCCTTACTGATGTTTTTCTCCAAATTCAAAGTAGTCACATGGACACAAACAAGGATAGGAACAGACTCAATATGTATTAGGAAATTCAAAGACTATGAAATTCACATAACCATGGTTACACCTTTCTGCCTCTGAGTACATTTAATATCTGAGGAATTAATTATGGGAGAACCTGAGAAGGTGCTCTCATTTCTAATCTCCTAAATCCTATTTAAAGAGCGACAGTTACAGTGGGAAGCCTTGCTCACTCCTAAGAAAGAGAGTTAATAAATAGGAAGTATGACATAATGAGAAGTCTTTGATTAAACAAGAGTTCCAAAGAAGAAATTCAAATATTAGACTTGGAAACAGTTTGTTCTAAGCTACAACAGACTGTTCACTATATCTAAAAAAATAGCCGAGACAGATTTGATAAATTAAAATCAACATTTTAAATACATTGCCCTGTATCTGAAATCAACAATTTATGCTATTTAACTTGAATGTGTAACACCCCATTCCACCAACTTGGATAATTAACTGCCTACTATAGTGTCGTTGCTTAGTCGTTCAGTCACGTCCGACTCTTCGTGACTATCGTGATTTAGGCCCAAATCCATCTGGAAGCTCTAACTAGAGTTGACTCACTGGATTAATTCCTATATGGTGAATCCACACATATGTAAATCCAACCAATTCAGTGGGTCTACTGTAGCTGTGGGTTACAAGCTGGGTTCAAGACTTGGTCTCCACCAGGCTTGTACCCTTCGCCTCACCATGCCATAGTCCCATATTTCATCAAAGGTGCACCATCTTTCTGTCTCACACATGGCAAACCTTGGGGAAATGGCATGGGAAGGCTTCAAAGAGTGCCATGGTCTCTATTAGCATCAGCTGTGATAGGTTTAATAGCTACTGGCTACTGGAGCGCACCAAGGAATTTCAGAAGATGATCAGTTTATGCTTTATGGACTACAGCAAAACCTTTAATGGTGTTTGAAAAGTTCATGGTGCAGAATTTCACTGTTTGAGCGTGCTGGTGGTGGACAGACTGTTTGTTTACATCACATCAATACTGTGCCAGCTGTACTGGTGGTCTATTCATTTGCAAGCCTGAAGTGCTGCTTTCAACCTTTCAAGCCCTATAATGGTGTGGGCCCAGATAAGTGAAAGGCTGCTTCCACACACACCAGCTTCCTGCTTTAAGATCAACATGGGAGGTCCTTATTAACACTTACCCACCACTGTAGGTCAGCTGGTACATGGAATATGGCTTTTTCTGCAGTGGCCCCACAT